TATCTATATATAAAACCAAACTCATTGCCTTCGAGTCAATTCTGACTCATAGCAACCCTACAGGACAGAGCAGAACTGCCCTATCAGGTTTCCAAGGCTGTAAATCTTTAGCAGACCGCCACATCTTTCTCCTGCAGAGTGGCTGGTGGGTTCGAACCACCGATCTTTTGGCTAGCGGCCGAGAGCTTTAACTTCTACACTTCCAGGGCTCCTAAAAAAGGAACTAAGAAAAAAAAAAAAGATGAAGAAAATTTAGTTTCCAGTATGTAAGAATTCTGTATTAGGAGATCTATATGCATGATCTTTTTAATGCTGTGATCTTTTTAATGCTGTGATCTTTTTAATGCTGTGAGGGTCCTCTATTAAACATGCTCAAGTTCTCTTAGAAAGGAAACCTCCTCATATAAGACTTCAGGAGCTAGTGGGCAGTCGAGGGACGTAAGGCCCAGAAATAATCAGGGCCACGTAAGTGACAGATTAACTCATCAATATGCAAAATACCTAATGTTTATTCACTAGATTAGTGGGGTGTTTTGGGTTTGTTTTAGTGCAAAAATATGCGAATGAGTGCATCTGAGCAGATGTACATCGAGGAGGGTGATCTGATGCAAGATGAAGTTCTGACAAAGACGTGTGGCATGCCATAATAGAACTGAAGGTTTGAAATAGAGTTTTCCTGAACTCAGGCTCTTTTAACAAAATGTTTTCCTTTTGGCTATTTTTTTTAATTGAAAATTTTACTAAGGTAATTGTAAATTCACATGCAGAGATCCCGTGTACACTTTACTCAGTTTCCCACAATATTAACATTTTGCAAAACCGTAGTACAATATCACAACCAGGATATTCACATTAATACAATCCACCTATTTTATTCAGATTTTCCCAGTTTCACTTTTCTACCTTTATATGTGTGTGTGTTTGGTTCTACATAACTTTATCACGTGTGCAGGCTCACTTTTACAGTCAAGATGCAGAACAGTTCCATCATTACAAGATCCCTCATGCTGTCCTTTTATAATCAAGCTCTCTTCCCTAACACCTGGCAACTGCTGATCTGTTTTCCATTTCTAAAATTTTGTGATTTCAAGAATGTCATATATAAATGGAATCATACAGTACGTAACCTTTTGGGATTGGCTTTTTCACTCAGCATAATTCTATGGAGATTCATCCAAATTCATTCCTTTTTGTTAGTGTATAGTATTCCATGGTGTGAATGCACCACAGTTTGTTTAACCATTCACCTGTTAAGGATATCTGAGCTGTTCCTAGTTTTTGACTATCATGAATAAAGTTTTCATGAATATGCATGTACAGGTTTTTGTGTGAACACAAATTTTCATTTCTCTGGGATAAATGCCCAAGAGTGCAATTACTGGGCCATATGGTAATTACATATTTAGTTTCATAAGAAACTTCCAAACTGTTTTCCAG